CCTTTAAGGATACAGCCACTAACAATATCAGTAACAAATAAGACACAACTTATATTGTGTTTGTTTGTTGTTTAACGCCACACTCCGCAATATTCAAGGTACATGAAGGCGAGAGCAGTCTGTAAATAATCGAGTTAGGACCAGACATTTGGTAAATGTCTTGAGTGTGGCTTTACGGATTGGAGAAAACACGCTCACGAGGTTTTGGTAGACAGAGCATACCCTGGGGAGACGAAAAAAACCAAGGGGGCGAGGCCCCCGCGGTTTTTCCCGACCCCCAGGGCATGCTCTATCTACCAAAACTGAGGGAAAGTGTTTTTCCATACTTATAAACCGTCTAAATTGATTAAATGTTATAACAAGCATCTATAAATGAGGCGCTTCATTATGGCGCTTCCTTGAAGATGTGATATCATAACTTGCACGTGAAATTCGCTGACTTGCCAGGCGGTCAAGAGCACTTGGATGTGTCAACAACAAAACGCAACTAAGATACTTACTTATAAATGAAAGTGAAATCTTCGGTCTCTAAATGTTTGTGTTGCAATATTCTACTTCTTTTAAACTTTTCAAAACGAAAATTCGCAAATTTAAAAGGTGTCTTTTGCTTAAGAATTTAAGACTTTAAACAATCTAACTGTTACCTAGAGGTAGTTGTGACGTAACGGCTAGCAGTTACTTCACGTGCAAATTGTGCAGCATTGATAAGCACTTGTTTAAAAGCACGTGTTTTGAAACCTCGCTGACCTTTCACCAGAGACTCTGTAGTGGAAAGATGAGCGACGACGACTTTCATTTTGCTACCCAGTCTTCATTCACTGTACACATAACATTCAATTTTAATTGAATTAAAATTTTGAATTGCTACTTGTAGTCATTTTTTTCAGTTACTTGGTTAAACCTGGGATTAGAGGTTTTACATTCAAAGTAAAACCTCCAGAACGAAAATAAAACCTCATAATAGGTTTTACTTTGTGAGTAAAACCTCTAAATATGTTTTAATGACTATAGAAAGAACTCTCTTACTTAAAAGAGATCCCAATGAATAGGTTTATAAAATTGGCATCCTCTATATGTCCAGTGTTCGCATTTCAGTAACCGTACACTAACCACTGGGTCCCTTCACGTTGTTCCTGCGATCTTAAATTGCCTGCCCTTCATAACCATTAGCTTATTGATTTGCTACGCTACCCAGTCTAATGGACAAATCAGAATGCGAGTTACAAACTAACAAAATGGTAGGTTGGTGACTTCAACAACGACTTCAGCCCCAATGATTACGACAGAGTTTGCTTACGACATGCTTATGATATATATGTTTATGAATATATGAATATGAAAACGGTTTTTGTCCTTTACATATGTACAAGTCGATTTGTCTGCTGCTGGACATTTCACTAACTTGGTAGCATTTATCAACACAAATGTTGAACGAACAAATTGGAAACTGTTTGGGCCGAGACAGTAAAACTGGTTACTTCTGTTTCAACATCTGTTTCACTGTGGACTCTCTGAATAGGTGTGGACGTACCTGGAGGCGTCCTAGTTAGCGAACGTCAGTGTAAGGCAACACTTACACTTAGGTCTGTAATGATATTGGGTGGGATCACTATATCATCATATAATGTTGATCTCTCTAATTAACCTGTACAAATATGCCAATGACATCTGACATGATTTAGCGTGTTTGGACAGATACAAATACAACGATTCATGCTCTTCGAAGTGACAGTGCCAATGAACCAACAATGATATATGTACCTCCGTTTCTCATAATCAAATTGGGACTTTTACCTTCGTCTTAAATTCATCAAAATCGCGAATTTGACTCACGCTAAGGAAAAAGGATATTACTGTTAGGCGATTACAAATTGATATATTTTGAGCAGGTGTATCCACACGTTGTCTTATTTTAACTAGTGACCTCTCTTGACTTGTATATTTTCCCATTTTATTAGTGCAAGCTATATCATTCACTTTTATTGACGTAACGATACAATATTGAAACGTTCATTAAACATATGTTGCGACGGACAGGAAGTGGTACTGAAGGTAGCCTTACTGCTTTGTTATGATCATAGGTTCACATGTTGACACGTAAACATACTTCTACAAATTTAGGAGAACCCGGAAAACAATGTATAAATTGTAAAATCGTCGCAATAAAAAAACATAGATGTTCTTTTACAGTGCGTGAGTCAGTCAGCTGTGTTCAAAGCCCTGTTGAACGTATATTACGGCGTGTCAGCTTGAAGCAAGAGGAAAGCCCAAAGAGTTGCAGGTCTTAGACGTTTACCACAATCCCGAGCACAGGTATGGTGCTGAAAAACCTAGAAACATAATCGGGACGAACCGGGATTCGACTCCACGAACATAGGTTATAGTCACTTGGGGTTAAGTCTGGGCTGTAGGATGGGTGATTTAACTGTACTGCCAAGACTTAGCCCCCAGTGACTATTTCCTGTTCCGGCAAATGAAATCTGCCCTTTGTGTAAGACGCTTCCGGGATGACGAGGACATAAAAGCTGCCACAGAGGCGTGGTTAGAGGGCCCAATCTGCGGATTTCTATAAAAGTGGTATTAAAAAGCTTGAAGGACAAATGAAATAAGTGTATTGAGGTGAATGAAGATTATATTGAAAAATAAAAGTGCAAAAGATATTCTGCGAATTGGTCTTATATTGAATTTGCAAAACTTATTGAACGCCCCTCGTAAGTTAGCTGTTACTGTTTAGTTGTAGCAAGATAATAATTAATTATTTGTTAAATTTTAGAATGTCAATAAAAGCGTAGTCAATGCATTAATTAAGTTAGGAATCTGGGTCAGTAGAAATATTTTGTAAGACTCCAGTTTAGAGTGACAAAATAATTGATTTCACTTGCCTTTTGACACACGTTTGTATGTTCTTTCTTTGCTACTGTTTATGAAGCCACTAACACTCAAACAATTCATACATTAAATATACTGAGTTTAAATACACAATTACAGTGGATTATGAAAATTAAATTAGGCAACTTCCAGAATAAGAGCTTGTGAAAGAGATTTCCAAATGTACCGGAAAATGTGTCTGACGTATATATTGAAAGAGAGAGAGAGAGGTTATCACGCGAGTGTGTTTGGGGATGGTAAATATCCTGCATTAGGAATAAACATTGTATTTCGCGAGCCTTGGCGAGCTAAATACATAGTTTTTATTCCTAATGCAGGATATTTACCATCCCCAAACACACAAGCGTGATAACCTCTTTATCATATAATGTCATTCTTTAATTCTGTGCTTCAAAATCGCTTTCCCTCTCTCACAAACATTACCGAAACATTGCGAGTTTTCCTGGAATGCGCGCATTAATATTTATTACGTCACAGGGTAAGTGATGTGTCAGTCGGACAAGGACAGTAGCCAATGTAGTTCCAACTGAAATATGTTTCTTATACAGTGGCGAAGCAACATATACGCAAAACAACAATTGTTTTTAATTGCCTTTCGCGGCAATCCATCGGTCTGTCCGCTAGAGTAACTGCCCTTTGTCAAAGGGAAACTACTCTAACCCTAGTCTATGAGACGTCACGGCCACGGTCAGATGTTGACAGTCGGTCTGTCATGACGATAAGAAGTGTTGTCAGATGTACACACAGCGACAAAACGAAACAAGGTAACAATTCAAACATATTTCCGCCAAATCCAACTATTTTAATTTGTGGAGAAGTTTTCAAGCCGCAGAGGTCTACAAGCACAGATATGGCTACTGATCCCGCTTGGCTAGGCCTCGTGCCCTCGCAAAATTGTTTCGAAATTTATATATCCAAAGTTGCCAAAACTTATACAATGCCTTAGCTACGTCACAGTTAGACACAGATTTTCAGTATATTAGACTGTTCTTTTGATAATGATAGCAATTATCCCTGTAGTTTATCCAGATTTCCGATGGTTAATTCTGACTCGATCACCGAATGACGAGTGCGACGCCATGTTTGTTTATAAACAGTGAAAGTAGTCCCTACGTGACCTTTGATATTTGCATCTTTATCCGCATATGACCCAGACGGATATCGTTTTTATCCGTAGGCTTTATCCTGCCGAGAAACCTACCCATTATATGATAAATATATATATATATATATATATATATATATATATATATATATATATATATATATATAATGATTTGACCAAACAAAAATATCAAAGTATTCCTTTCATAACTGTTTGATTGGCATTCTAGATTATTTGTGACTGCTGTGATTCGCATATTCGAGAAGCCCACTCACATCACCATAAAAAATTGCCAAAATCTTCATAAATAACTGCCGACGAAATAGACTATTGATATCGGATTAAATCCAGATTAAAATAATAAATAACTGAAGTAGGAGTGGATTGGCAATTGCATAAATTTTTGCTTCAAGCATTGGTTTGGTAGTGTGTCGAAATACTCTTCACCGACATCTCCATTTTTTATTTTTTTTAATCACTACATTTCTTGGCCAAAATTACCACTATTTTACTTGTTAGAAATTACTCCTCATGCGATTTCTTATTTGTTATCCATGATAATATCATAAATATCTGCTTAAAGCATTTTCCATTGTACAATTCCGACTATGTCATTAGCAGGTGTTTATGAATTACTATCAAATAGTGATGGATCCAGGTGTTCGCGAAACGGATGTTCTGCAACACCTGTGATACCCATCACAAACGCATGCAAGTACAAGTCAACTGTTCATCCTACAGGGGACACGGGAATATGTTACACGTCAAAATAGGGAACTGTAAGACATAATTTTGGTCACAGATGCGTCGCATGTGGAAATGTCCTCCACACGTCAACCATAAAGCATGTTTAAAGCTTCACTAAGGGCTGGGATAGTGTCGCCCTGATCACACATCAAACAACAAAACATGTAACATAGGAGGCGGTTTCAATAGTCTCCTCTCTTTATTTCAGATGGGTAAATCAGTGGAAGGAAATTGGCTGTTTGACCATTATTAAACGACATCAGACCATCGAAAAACCTGAAACATAAGTTACACTCCTTGGCAAAATTCTCTGTTTTGATTTTGCCAATCCGTTTGAACATTCTGACCAGACCAGAACGGAGAGGACAGTTGGTGCCCATGGGGATGCATATTGTACTTCAGATGGTATATTTACTTTCAAATTTGACAAATTGTCCTAAACTTTTGAAGGAAGAGATGTAATTCTCTGTTGCAAAACTGCAAAGGTCACGTTATCTACGTTCCTTTTTGTGTTTGTCATGTGTTTGACTTACCTTGACTTACCTTGACAGCATCTTTCGTTAGCAGTCGCTCTTGATCCTCTTTGTCTCCCGCCTTTTTCTTCCTGTTTTAGACATACATGGAAACGTCACGCTAAATCTCCTGACGTTTTGAAAAAAGTTGTAATTAGATATGTAAGAATGCATGTGTGTTAGTTCTGCTCGCGATGTGGCTGAAATATGGCACTGCCGCGTCAAATATGTACTCACTCACTACTAACCATGGCAAAATAATGTCGAGCAATATCTTATGCTACTTCTTTAAAGGTTATCTTGGTGAATGACTTCTTCTCCATGGAAGATGACAAATAGGTCTGTAAACGTTTATAATCAAAATACAAAATACACCGAGGTATCACGGTTTGAGATATTGTTGCAGATACTTGTCATTGTCGAATCACAGATAATCGCGCTAAAGCACAAGTCAACAATGTTAATGCCGCTGTGAGCATGATCGAATCTCATGGGAGAATTTCATGTACTCACCGCGTTTATATGTTATAATCTCTTTGCACTTAAAATCATGTCTCGAACTTAGGTAGAGAGAGTTCACTAAACTATTCGACTTACATGAGCCGCCACAGAAGCAGTATCAAGGCGAATAAAGTGACCAGTACCAGTAGAACCGCAGACAAAGACAGGCGCAGCAGGACAGCTGGAAAAATAGTTATAGAATGATGGAATAATATATGACAATAGATTATTGACAATGATATTGTGTACCGATCAATTAGTATTCACATTAGTCTCAGGCCAAATGCAAGAAAAGTGCCCATCTAGTAGGATCTAAAAGAAGCAGTAAAAGTGTTATCCAGTAATTAGTATGATACCTCCCATGGCTCAGACACACCATCACATGCAGACAATGAGGAAGGAGGTTACAATGTATCCTCATTCACAAAGTAGTTTCACAGATAACTATCCGTAACTATCAAGAAATGGGCGAAACCATTCTTTGGTATCTTGAGATAGCGCTCATAAAATAACAAAGTGATATTTTCTTCACAAGTAAACATTTTGCTTGAGTAATTACACTTGATGTCTATAAGTCTATAAATCACCTGGTCTCCTTCTGTGCGTTTCTCTACTTTACGGTGGTAAAATTGCGCTTGCAATCAATGCACATAGTATCTTTTATTGCTCACATAATTACAAACAAAAAATTAAACACCCTTTCGTCCACATACTATAATTGTTTATTGTGCTATATACCATGTATGTACTTGATATAAGATACGACAGGTAAGATAAGATAATATTTATAACAGAAAACTGCAATATTTAAATGACAAAACAGTAAGACTCATACATACACACGTGCACGCACGCATTTAAGGAAAATGTTCATATTACGGATTTGATGATATTATACATTAAATGCCATAGGTTGATAATGATCAATGGATATTTATTGCTTATTTGAGAGGATCTTGAGAAATAATTTGTTTGCATTATTGTGGAGATTTACATTTTGTGGAGATAATTTTCTAAAGAGCATATTCCTTTCGTGAGCGTGAAGTATGTGGTGGATTTTATTATCAATAGTTGAACATGTAGAGCATAGCCTCTGGTGTTGTTTAATTGGTGGCTTTGTATCTGTACCAAGTTTTAAAGTTAATTAATGGTCACTTAATCTTAATTCAGGAAAGTGCGATCGATATTTACTTATTTTACAGTGACTGGGATAAGGTTATAATTTTAGTTTAACTATCCTGTAAGTTTTGTCCTATGCCTTTAGTTGCCTTAGCACCATGAAGAGATTCGTTGAAGATTGAGTTGAGTTCAGAGTTAATTGTAGGAAATCTGAATTCAATGTTCTTTTAGAATAGATTGAGTTGGTATACGCATCCCAATAGTTTATTCACCAAAGATGTACTTTCAACAAAAACGTTCTGAAGTACACCTTTTTTTGAAGAACCAACATGGTGATAGAAATTCATTATTTTTATTACTACTGTGTAAATAAGAGGTCTGTTCGGCTTGCCCAGTTGATTTGCTGACACCTAACAAAAATCTGAGCTGCAGTTTCTCGGGGATGAACGAATCAGAGTTGTTCTGGAGGATTGATTCTTTACCCAAGATTTCACAAATACATACGATTACCATCTTCCCAAGGCAAGAGAGTTAACTGACTATAAAAGTCAAGTTTCCACCCTTGCCGAACTAGGCTGGAATTACTTGGCTCGATCGTAGCGCCACCAGTGGTTAATATCAGTTTTGTCCCTTCTAAGCCTCTCCTATGGACCAATCAGATTACACCTCTCATATCATGTGCGTTTGCTTCACGCAAAATGGTGGCCCCCAGTCAAAACCATCTGATCGATAATTAAGATCTATATTGTGATAAAACGGATCTTACATCGCGAAATACATCAAATCACGTGAGCACCTTGATTTAAAACATGAAAAGATTTGGAAAATATCTGCTGACAACGAGTTGGCGGTGCACATGTTTTGCAAATCCTGCAATCGACCAAAATCTGCACGACAGTTTACGAACCGGATTTCGATTTCGGTGCGCGAATTTGATTGGACTATGCATAGACTCGTTAGTCCAGCCAAAATGTAACTCCATAATACCAGCCTAGTTCGGCAAGGGTGGAAACTGGACTTTTATAGTCAGTTAACACTCTTGCCTCAGGAAGATGTAAGATTACTGGCTTGATGAATCCTTTGACTAATTTGCAAAACGTTATAGGTATATCTTGGTTAAATAATGGTAGAGTGAAGCTTGTGGAAGGCTTTTGACCCTTTTTCAGGAGAAGGTTAGCACTAATTTGCTTCAAAGGTTATTCCTGAGTAATTACATCTATCCGTAACTAGTATTTTTGTATCACCCACGATCTAAGTGTTATTTTCGTCTATTTTACTTGATTTCCCATTTAACATTATTTTGTCGCCATTAGTCTTCAGGTTATTTGTTGCAGAAAATACTCTCAGGCCATCAAGTACAATTTGTAATTGTTTGGCGGAATCGGCATATAGTACTAAGTCGTCGGCAAACCACAAATTAAGTGTTATATTATTACTACCAGATTTGATATAATGTGGAGGATCATTGAGGAATATATTAAATAATATGGGAGAAAAAGTGCATCCTTGTCTTTCCCCGATGTTGGATTTAAAAGATTTTGATATGACCTCCTAGTTTTCACTTTATACAAAATATCATTATGTAGTGATGATATTATTTGCAACACACTTCCTGTGATTTTATCTGATATCAGATTTGTTAGGATTAGTGATCTGTCAACTGAGTTGAAAGACTACAAAGCAAGTGTACAGTTGTTGTTTTTCTTTTTACGTTTTGCAGAATCTATTAATGTTTTAAGAACAAACACATTATCTGACTTCCTTAGCCAGACAGACAGTGGTCTTAAAAATCTATTTTTCATTAATAACCTTGCAAAATAGTTTACCCAAGCAGCTGGTGATGATTTCAGGTGTTCGCGAAAAGGTGAGCATATCACGCCAAACCGGTTGAACGCGTCACAGACAGGTTGCCCAGCTCTGTGGGAAGTGACCACAATTTAAGACATCATTATCAATGTACAAGATATTGATTTTAAAAATTCATGTTATCTTTTGTTTGTTTTGTTTTATAGTAGTGAGAATGTCATTAGCTGGTACTGGTATATTAAGACTGTCACAGATATGCATATCTCTATGGCTTGATGAAATGTGTAGGTTATTCGGAGACGATATCTGTGTTTTAGTGGATTGTTAGCTCCTTATCATTAGGATAAACAGACTCCTTCTGGGATGGCATTCTAAGTTTATTTAATAGTGCCCAGAATTCCTTTGGCTCCTTCCCTGGCAAGGTTCCGAGTTGTTCTAGCTGGTTTTGTTTATATTAACGTTGTGTTCTTCTGAGTAACTCGTTGTATTCTTTTTTGGGGGGTAAAAAGAGCCCTTTTTGCAAATGATACATTGTTTTCGTTATTGAACTCGTGATTCTTTTCCTCCGTATTACATCTTTACATTCAACATCATACCATTGGTTTGTTGGTAGATTTGATGTATTTGTGCAAGGCTTTGTTGATCGTTATTGACGGATTGTCAGAGAAGGCATCAACGAGTGCTTCACATTCAGAACTATCTTGTGGGCTGGGGGTTAACATAAACTTGTTTAAGGCAGTTTGAATATTTAACCTAGAAGTAGCATGTTCAATACAAATTGGACTGTTGGAATGACAGCGTCTTCTACCCCTGTATTTAGTAAAGGTTGCATTTGGGGACATGAATATATACTCTTAAAAAAAACCACTTTTTGCCAAATATCTAAAATAATTACATTAAATGAGAACCAAATAAGTCAAACAGAAAGATGATGTGTCTATAATTCGGGAAAACACATGCAATGCACATAAACGTAGCGTTTGGGGATCAATTTTACAGCTTCATCCAAACGCAACCGCCTGTAAAAAACGTGCAGCATTGGATCCACATCAACGGCTGTCCATACAGTCCTTATAACGGCAGTAGAGGCGGTGACAGAATGCCAAGACTGAATGCAGCTCAACGAAACAACGCCATTGGGAGATTACAAGCTGGAGCAACTCAGCAAGAAGTGGCCAGGCACTTTGGCGTATCCAGGCAGACAATCTCCGCACTGTGGACCCGATACAACAACACCAACAGAGTTGACGACAGACCAAGGTCAGGAAGACCAAGGGTGACAACCCAAGCACAAGATCGATACATTCGGCTGCGACACCTCCGAGACCGCACTACCACAGCCACGTCTACAACCACACAGATCCCTGGGGTACACAGAATATCAGATCAAACGGTACGCAACAGACTGAGAGAGAGGCTGGACTTTTTGCACGAAGACCTGTTAGACGTCATGTATTGACCCAACGTCATCTGGCGGGCCGTCTGCTTTGGTGCCAACAGAGGGTTAGATGGGCACGTGCAAGGTGGAGAAATGTACTGTTTACTGACAAGTCCCGTTTCCTACTCACACGTGCTGATGGGCGCGCACGTGTCTACAGACGTCGGGGTGAACGTTACGCCCCCAACTGTGTGCAGCAGGTTGTCCCATTTGGCGGCGGGAGTGTCATGGTATGGGCCGGAATTCACCACGGTGGTAGGACGCCTCTCGTGCATGTGGCAGGTGCATTGACAGGTGTGCGTTACAGAGACTTGATCCTACAGCCTTACGTTCTTCCTCACGTCAACGTTCATGGCGGACAGTTCCAGCAGGACAACGCTCGACCGCATATTGCACGTGTTTGTCAGGACTTTTTACAACACAACAACATCCAGACATTACTTGGGCAGCCCGGTCACCAGATTTGTCCCCGATTGAGCATCTGTGGGACGAGTTGGATCGACGCGTTCGCAGAAGGAATCCACCGCCCCAAACACTTCCGGCGCTTCTTGATGCACTTCAGCATGAATGGCAGCACATCCAACAGCGTGTTATTGACAACTTGATTGCATCTATGGGTCGTCTGTGTCAAGCGCTGATTGATGCACGTGGTGGGCACAACCGATACTGACATTTTCTGTACCCCTGTAACATTAACTGTATCGTGTACGTGTGTCTGTCCAGGTGACACAATTACTGTTTTGAACATTGTGTACATTGATCTTCAAACAGTGTTTCAATTATGGTTTCTGTGTCCTATTTTGAAAGGATCGCGTTATATTACATTTTGAAAGTCAGTGTCAAGTTTCTTTTTTTGAAGAGTATATTTGCCAATTATGTGAAAACATATATTCAAAACACTGCAGAATAGAACATATAAATAAAATAATTTTATTTATTATTCTTTCTACTCATTTCCTGTTAAAAGAGCAAACCCAACCCTTCTCTTTAAGTGAGATTATAGACAACCAGAACGTTGATATAGCTTTCATAACTGAGTACAAGCTTACTGAACATTCTCTAAGTTCTATCGGAAACATTCATCCAGATTATTGCTTATTCGTCACAAACTGTTGCCTGGGTGGAAACAAAATTCTGTTCTTTTGGATCACACGCTAGTTGTGCCGTTAACGGAACTTCATATGGCTGAACACCTCGCATGGGAGCGAACTCAACGATAGTGTTGTGCACAAGGGAACCAGGCGTATTCATAGACGAATCACGATTTTGTGTGCAGTTTGCCGATCGAAGAATTGGTGAAAAGTATGACGCCGATAACATCGTCCAGCGAGATCTATAGGGAAGCGTTATGGTATGGGCGGACATTTATGATAATGGAAAACTAATCGGGTGATAGTTAATGGGAATCTCAACACTCAGCGTTATTGTGACAACATTGCCGGACATGTGGTCATTCTATTCATTCAGCAACATCGTGGATTTTGTCCCCAAAAAACATGCTTGCCGTAAAAGGCGACTATGCTTGTCGTAAAAGGCGGCTAACGGGATCGGGTGGTCAGGCTCGCTGACTTGGTTGATGCATGTCACCGATCCCAATTGAGTGGATCGAGGCTCATGATATCAAACGCTGGATTGTCTGGTCCAGACTCGATTATTTGCAGGCTACCGTCATATAGCTGTAATATTGCAGAGTGCGGCGTTAAACAACAAACCAAACCAAACCAAAAAGACAATGTCAGGCCCATACAGCATGAATGACTCGTGATCTTCAGAGAAACCAAGTTTCTGTTTTGAACATGCCAGCAAGATCTCCGGACCTTTGTCCGATAGAGCATGCATGTGATATCCTGTGGAGGCTATTAAGGGGAACATAGCTCTGATCCAGGCTGATGGTGCCGTCACACGTCACTGACATTTTGGTGTTTCCACCCCCGTCTTGACAAATGATTTCCCAAGTCTGTAAAAGTGACATGTCACCGTATAGGGGATGACTTTGCATTGTTAAGTGGTGTTTGATCAGATGTAATATATACATAAATATCATAATTGCGAAGTTTTTACTTTTTGACAATTGTTATGGTTCAGTATATAATAGTTTAAGGCAAGACTAATTTGTGTTTGTTTGTTGTTTGTGCATATATCATTTGTATATGTTGCTGAGAGACAGACAAACGCATTTTATGAACAGGTACTGTTTTCTATTATCCCTTTGCATCTTTGTTACTTTGATGAATTAATAATATGTCCGTGAAGTCCAAATATGCAGATGATATTGACCAGACCATGTCTGTGCATGATATCGGGTTAAGCCTCAATCTCGGAATAGCAACGGTTACAAGGGAGGTTAATGGGGCGTAGTGGGAATGTAGATAGATGATTTGGATAGTGATTTAAATACATAATGATTGATAAACCTTTGCTCATCGCACCTACCTAAGAACTGATAAATTTGATCTGAGATACACAAATGATTTATTGTATTTCTGGCTCAGTTGATATGCAATGCAGTATGTCTTATTTGCTGAACAAATGTAATAATCTGGCTAGTAGTCAACGTTTTGTTTTCATTTGCGAAGCGTGGCTTTAACCTGGTCTCGTTGAATTTATGCCTTGCCTAGTTTAAAAACAATGACCAATACTATTCCAAAGTGCTACAATGAAGATGTGTTTGAATATAAATCCATATAAGAGTGGTACCAATGCAAGGTATTAGACTATTGTATTCATGTCATGATAATAGTTTTGTCCAATTGCTTTCAAAACCACTTGAGCGACACTATTGGTTAATTTGTTCTGAATCAGAAGTAGATAACGGCAGTTAAACGTCTGTCAAGGTGTTATTTTATGAGAACAACACAAACAATAGTATTGTCCAATGCTTTAAAAATACTTCGCTTAGGCATTGTGTATTCTCGTGTGATGTTCGAGGGGGATACACTGACATCCTTGATGCGTCCTTACATTATGTTTGGCAGTATAAGCGTTGGGTAACTTACTATTTCCAGAGTCGCCGGGTGTGGTGTCTGTACATGGAGTCGTCTTGCATCCATCCTTACATATCTGATCCATACTACCGCGTGTAAAGCTGCACGGAGGACAATCATGCTCACAGTTCTGTCCATAGTAACCATCTCTGCAGGCGGTGCAGTCTCCAGTAGATTGGGTACATGTCAGGTACCGGGGGTCGCACTTGTTACTGCAGTTCTGTCCATACCGCCCTTCAAGACACGTGGTTTTAGAGCATGTCTTGTCTTTGTCACACCGGAATCCCTGGCACAACTCTTCACATGTGAGAGTACAGGTTGTACCATGAAAGGTATCCTTACAACTAATACAGCTGCCGTTGAAACGTTCACACACTTGACAATTCACTGGACATGGGATTCTGCATGAGATGCCTCTGCATCCATCCACACATCCGTCAACACAAGAAGTACGACCAACTTCGTCAATGTTACATTGCTGGTTATTGCAAGTCATTGGACACGTATGCTGGCAACTGCTACCATAGAAACCGCGTGGGCATTGTCGATTCTGTATACCAACAACCACTGTCCCTGAAAGCAAAAACGTTATCGTAAAACAATTTAACAACTGAAACATACACGTCAACGCTACATGTCGATTATATCAGTACACATCACCACAGAACGTACACTCATAAACAGTTAAGCTCTGATGCATGATTTCACAGGTACTTCATTAAAAAAAGCTAAGCAATAACATGTGTGCCTGTATCAAAACATAACAATACACCAAATTTAAACTAATTCGTATTGTGGAATGTGGTATGGATTTTAGCTGAGTAATTATATTTAAGAATTTTGTTAATTGTTTTGAGGATCTCAAGATTCTTTTATAGCATTTTTTGTAACCGTGCATATGTGATATATTTTTATTATATATGTACAATAAACAAGGCATATCTTCATAAATAAAGTCAAAGTATTTGTTGTAATGCATGATTCAAAGAACTATAAACATACGCTACAGTTATTTTCAATTTTCGATTAGTCTGTTTTTAGATGCGTAAAAGGAACAAAGGCCAATTTGTAGCTAGCATGTATTTCGATTTTTGACTTTGTAAACATATCACGTTTCAAAAGCTGAAAATGACAATGTGATAAATAGCTTCAAGACAATTTCTTTATTGTTTAATGTCGGTCTCTGCCTATGTTCTTATCAGGTTTGTTTACTACAGATCAACGTGTGACTTCATCAAATTGTAATGATTTTCACCAAACATATCCCTGATTTTAAGTTTCCTAGACATGTTTACAACATCCCCGTTTCTGAGGTACCAGTACACTACCAGACAGAGCTATACATATCCATGGATAGTAAGGAATACTTGACCGTGTATCTGCAGTTCCAGAGCGTCATGACTATAAGTCTTTACTTATAATCAATAATTTACCAATCAAACTTCACACATTTTATTACATTAATATGTTTAAACCATACCCTGTAGATGGGTAGACGGGGCCCTTTCGTCGTGTCAATATGAACCAACAATCAATTACTATGCACATTTTGTTACCGATACTTACATAAAACGACGCAACGCAAGCATCGACATCCATCCATACTTGCAGAAATGCTGAAAATAAACACTAACATCAGATACAAAAAATAACAAAGAATATATACATTTTAAAAAAGAAAGCAAAATTTAATTTCATGGATGGATAGTTTCCCATGTCGGACTTCTACATGAAAATATGGTCTGCATGATCTTTGTTAACTTTGTTGTGTCACAACGGTTGACAGAGTTAATAGAGATGAACTTTGACATATTCATTATTTATTTCATTGTAGCCATTAATGCAGTTTTTACATGCAACTCATGGGATTTGTCACGTGTTACCAAAATCGCTTCAAAACTCATAAGACATCTCAGCTAAATGCTAATTACGTATGAGCATGTGTTTATGAATCACTATCAAATTCAGTTGAATTTTGACTCTTATTGAAGACTCAATAATAATGCGAAATTAACGCTATTGGTGGACTTGAAGCTGATGAATCACAAGTATCAGTGTCAAGGTATTTCTCTGTTGCCCGGAGCACAATTTTCCCGAGTTTTGGCATGATATTGGTCATATGGCACAACTAGAGATCGTCCCGGATGAGAGAAAACTTACAGCAGTCCAGGATCGCGACGCCCAGAGACCCGTTCCACAAAACGAGCGTAGCGCAACGACAGTCTTGCGTCTATTTCAAAGCGTGTGGAGTTACGATCACTAAAGGACTACGGTAGTTTTGTATAACGGAACCCTGGCCCTTCACTGCAACCTACATTGCAAAACATATTCATGGTTTAATTACGAGCTGCCGGAATCCGATCACGAAAGACCTACGTTGACTTTATTTTACCTCAAAGCGGTTGCAGTGGTCTCGGTCACATTATGAGTAGCTTCAAGAACGTTGGCATAACATAATTGATATAGTGATCATCACGTTTACTTTTTCAAACGTGAAATGGGCGGATCCGCGTGTATACTGGCGACGGAATGAGCGTGATGTCGGATGTTGCGTTCATGAAGTCGACAGATTCGGTGGAGGTATCATGATGTGGGATGCTCTCTCTTGTGGGCGAAGAACAGCTCCTGCTTATTTCCAGGGCAATGTAACAGGTTAGGACATTACTTTGTCCCGACTCTGCAAACACCAGGGGTCGGGGGTACTTGTTGTTACCATGACCGGCATAGAGGGGATAAAACAAGGATTGGTCGATTTGTATAGTATACTGAGTGGGGTATCCATGTTAAACTGCGGAATGGTATCTCAGCTAGGTTAGAACCTAACAGTTTTTGTCCACTAGTCCATATAATGATAACATATAGCAAAACCCCTTAAAATTGGCCTTTACTATTGGGCACTTTGGTAAGGACTACAGGACTAGTGCCAATTTCTAACGCTGATCTCAGTGGTCTTGCACGATGAAACAAGCATTAGTCCCGACTAGTATAAACAGCCACACATAGTCCATGCACGTCGATTTATACATTTATAGTAAACGACATTTCTCCGGACCAATTTCAAGCAGAATATATACACACTCACGTACGTAGGCACGCATGCACACACGCACGCAACCACGTCGCTATATAAGTGCTCTAATCTTAAAGGCGACGTAAACCCCATTTCATCACACCCAACTTGAGTGCTCTAAACGTACTAACATGGCCGTCAACCATCTGGACAGACGTTTACGTCAACGACTGCCACCGTGGTCTGGTGGATGGTCTGGACCGCCCGGAGTGCCGTGGTTCGATCTCTGGTCGCGTCATCCCTGCCGCTCGGCACTAATATGAAAATCAAGACCTGGTCGGCTCGGAGTATACTTTTTTCTGAATGGGACATCCACGCGGGGAGCGCGCACACACACACGCACGCACGCGCGCAGGCAGGCACGCACGCACGCACACACACTCTCTGAAAAATCTAGCTTCCAACTCGTTCCAACTTAGATGAGTGGAGCTTCATTTCTCGTTGGCTCTGTAGTTACATTCGACTCATGTGGATTATCTGCTATCATTACCGTTACGTTACATCATCTGTAGACGAAGTTCAAGGTCATAAGTAGACACGGGGATGAATGTCGTTATGATGTTTTGGGCAAAATACTATTAGTGAAAATATCTGAACCTTTATAATTCCACCATGCATATTATATTTCGGATTTGTTCTTGAGTTATGCGATAAATCACAGGTGACACCCCAAAAATGTCAACAATACAGTTTGAGATCCATGCCCCAAAATGCCAACAATACAGTTTGAGATCCATGCCGACATGCGTAGTGTGTCTATATATCGCTGGTGTTTTGTGAAATAGTGAGGTGTCTATAGTGAGCAGGGAAGACGTTGCACCGTATAGTTGCGCAGTAACCCTAACACCCCCATTCGAAAAACCAGCTGATGCCCAAAATAGTCCCGTCCGCGCGTGATGAAATCACAGAATGTTTAGTATAGTTATATTGTTATTAAACGGGTGAGCTTTACACGTAGGTGTAACAAAACTAGATATTTGACAATGGTGAATCTGCATTCAAATCAAACAAAGAAACCTGCATATTTGTGTATAGGGAGAGGTTTAGGTATGATGACAACGTATATGAAAAGAGATGTTTATAATGTGTGTAATTTTTGGGTGCACCATGAGTTCAATAATGAATTCTGACACTCACAACAATTTTTGTGCTGAAAGCATCAATGGCTGTGTCCACTATCCAGTGTGTTCATCTCAACCTGTAAGAAATAAAAACAGACGTTACAGCGTCTTGAGTAAATGTCCACAAACATTTAGATTTCTCGGGCTTAAAAGTTGTTTCCATTGTGACTGACGTCTTTTCAAACATTTTGTTTTACGAACACTGGCTCAAGTCGCCAGCTTGAATTAAGAATTATGCAACACAATTTATTATGTGTAACTAATCAAATCAAAACAGATAAGCCGTATGGGTATTAAGGATCGTACCACTGTCAAAATCTGGCAAAATCTATCAATTGAAAGATCCATGTACAGTATAAAACACTCAGTGGTGATTTTACATACCGATTCATCTACAGGACCCTTATCAGCCTTCTTGTTTCTCCGCCTTTTGTGCCTGCGCCTGTGAATATTATTTAATTGATATTCATATAACATATGGCATTCCAGCTAAGTGTATTTCGTGACGAAGTATAAACAATAAAACACTGTTTACAATAAAGAATTGTTAGACCATTAACTGGCACAGACCAGATTACATTGCACCAAGGCTTAATCATATTGTTTTAAATGGACCATTAACATCCTTTACATATGCTGACAAATGTATGCCAGTGACAAACAGCTTTGGCTTACGTTTGCAAAGTTTACAATAATTGCCTATATCCAGGTTTGAATGTGTTTACTTACCATATGACATATGCAAACAATCCTGTCAGTGCACACAAAAACACACTCACTATGATCAAGGGAACACTGAAACTGAGGCAGCTAGTGAAATCTGAAACTCAGAACAAACGGAACCATTTATCTACTGGATAACCTCAGTCGACATTTATAAATACAAGCAACTGCATTATGTTGCGGGGAAAGTTCGAACTTGTATCTACTTGAAAATCTGCATACAACTCTTACCACAATGTGTCTGCGTGATATTTGTATCAGGCTTGTTTGTTGGTGGCGTTGTAACTATACACGATGTCCCATTCTTGCACCCACTGGTACACTCGCCATCTACTTGGCTACAGATGTTGTTGATGCAGTTAGAGTTGCACTCTTTGCGACAGAAGGTATCATGATATCCCCCGTTACAACCTTCTAGACACTCTCCTGTAGTGAAATCACAGTGAATGATATCGTGAAAAGGGCGACAGTTAGATGGACAGTTCCTGTCACATGCAGGTCCCCACTTGTTACTACCACAGTGTCCACCTCCAACTTCACTGGTCACTGGTACTGTGAAGGATAAACGGATGTCAGCAGGTTACAGCAACAATAAGAGAGTCGGGTGTTCCTTAGTGAAATAAAGACTCAAGGTAAATACAGCAATACAGATACCAACTAATTCGTTTACGTTTTAAAACTCAATTTTTAGAAGATCAAATCGGCGTGCGATGTAAAATATTGCATTTACGCGACCAAAATCCAACATACTTGATATTAAGTTGGTAATCTAGGTTAGTTGGCATATTTACACTTTTGAAATAAGGATGGCAAATGCGATGATGTTTTGTAGGTTCTGTTCAAACCTTACCGAACTGGAAGATGGTATGGAGCCCAACCGTCCACGTTAAGATGCTCATTCCACATCGATACTGAATTCATCTCCCAATACTCAACTGAAACATGTGAAATGTCATTACAACGAAACATGAGACATCGTACCACACATTTCAATGTCGATGTTAAAAATAAGTGTGTTTGTTTGTTTGTTGTTTAACGCCACACTCAATATTCCAACCATATGACGGCGGTCTGTAATTAATCGAGTCTGGACCAAACAACCCAGTGATTGACAACAGGCGCATCGATCCATGCAATTGGGATCGATGACATGCATCAACCAAGTCAGCGAGCCTGACCACCCGATCCCGTTAGCCGCCTCTTACGACAAGCATAGTCGCCTTTTATGGCAAGCAAGGGTTGCTGAAGACCTATTCTTCCCCGGATCTTCACGGGTCTAATCATGTGAGGATTAGAAGCCAAAACATATTTAACATTGATTTTAATCCTATCCTTATTGCACTGACATAGCGACGTGTGTATGTGTGCGTGTGTGCGTGTGTGCGTGTGCATGTGCGCGTGCGTGCGTGCGTGTGTGTGTATGTTTAGCTGCTTGTACTAGACCAGGCTAATGCCGATTTCATACTGCTAGCACACTGAGATACCATGCCGCAGGTTAACATGAATACCCCACTAAAACACAGAATACGGACTCCGAGCCGACCAGTCCTTGATAAGGGCCGTTAAGGCCGAGCGCCAGGCAGGGTAACAACAAGTATTGTTTTTAACGTCTTTTGGTATGACGCGGCCGGGGATCTAACCTCAAACCTCCCAGCGGCCGTCCCCGCACGGAGAATTGCAGAGACAGTTAGAAAGGTTGATAAGATTGACGAGAGTGATGATTATTTATTTTTGATAAGTTGTTTTGTAAGCCGTATCCCGTACAATTCTGATTCTTACAACCATGCATTAATGGTATAGAATACAAGAAGGATATAAATATTACAGAGTAGAGGCCAAGTAGATATGTTCTGGTAGGCAAAAAGGTTTCGCTTCCTGAATTATAAGAATATACTGCAAAACACAACGTTATACATGACCATAACGAATTACAGAAATGAACAGTGTGAATATCCTTTCAATCGAAATACTATGACTGCTATTAATTATGGTAGCAACGTTAATATTTCGCAACTTATCAAACATCTAATAAGCTTCATATTGATAGATTTTAAGTCGCGTTTTCTGATATTTTACGAGATGTGACGTCACTGGCAGCTTGTTTGTCAACAATCATATCCCCGTACCACCCCCGTGACAAAATGCTCAGAATCAAGCTACTAAACGTTCGTTTTGGACAAAATTTGAGAAATATATCAATGTGAAGCAGAGAGACACTCAGACAATACTGCCACAGCAGTTTCATTCATAATGGTGCAAAAAATGTGGGAGTAATTGTGTGTTTTTAAAAAATTAGGTGACAACATATTTATTATAAACAGTATTCTTGAAGCTCTCAATTGAACACGATAATTTATGATTTTTTTTATAATTAAGGTTTTTCTTATATAAACGTTACCATATATACAGTAGTATAGGTAATGGGGGTTCTGGACCACTTCCACTGGAGCTAGATTTATATACCTATACCACCACTACAGATGGAATTTTTTATGCAAAAATGATGATGGGATTCAACGATAGTCATAAGTCATATTAAAAGAAACATCAATATTAATTAATAATGGATAAAATTTACTATAGCCCACGAGGATATTGGAAAGGTGTAGGAGCAATAAAAAAATTAGCCACCGCGGCTAAGGTATCTAAAGACGTGGCCAAGGATTGGTTAAAGAAACAAGCGATGTGGCAAATATACTTACCGGCACCGCGTTATATACCGAGGAAGAAGTTTGATATTTTTACAATGAATGAAGTTCATCAGGCTGACCTCTTCTTTCTTCCCCATGATAAGATAAGACGCAAAACGTATAAATATGCTTTAACCGTAGTGGATGTGGCTAATCGATACAAAGAGACTGAGCCATTAACCTCAAAAGATTCAACAGAAGTAGCTGATGCACTGAGTCGTATTTATAAACGCGGATCACTAAAATGGCCTAAGCTATTTCAAGTAGATTCCGGTCGCGAGTTTATGGGATCAATAACTAAACTGTTAACAAAGCACGATGTCGAAATCAGGCGTGGTGAAAAAGAGGCCCACAGTAGTCAAGCTATCGTCGAAAGATTTAACAGGACATTAGCAGAACCTTTGTTTGGCTATCAGTATGGGATCGAAATGAAATCGGAACGATTAAGATCAACCGAATGGGTGACACGATTATCAGCTGTTGTATTAGCGCTGAATAATGAAGTAACGAGATTAATCGGGAAGAAACCATCCGATGCGATTAAAATGAAATCCGTGACTTCCGAATCTTCGGCACCGAGGAGAGGTAAAGAACAAAAACTTCCGGATAGAGTAAGCGTAAGATATTTATACCAGCCCCTTGAACTCGAAGGAGGCCTACGTCGCGCAACCGTCTCTTAAGACCTATAACATTAGTCAATTGGTTATGAAAGAAGGAGAGCCTATTCTTTATTATCTTAAAGATGGACCAGGCAGGGCCTTTGTACGAGAAGAGTTGTTCATAGTTCCCAACGATACAGTATTACTGCTCTAAATAACCATAACCATAGGTAGTTACACCATCCTTATCAATCCATCTCTTTGTATCTAAGGGGGATGGATAATGATGTCTTGTTCATTCTTAATCCATATATCTTATGATTGTAACTTCTTAAAGAGTTCATTTCATGTTTGAATGCTCTACCGTTGAATAATGCTTCTTTATACCGTTCGTGTTTGATATGCTTTTTTACCACATACTTTTTAACACCCTTAGCTTTTCTTATCTCTCCATAATCGGACTTCCTTATAGAATACATCTTAGGTCTTAATCCGACATACTCCGCTATAGGATACCCAGCACATTCATCCTTCATCTTACCTAACACCTTTTTATTTACTACGCTGTGCAGTGGATTATCGCTCGTGTCGTACATATCTATTTTTTCTGTCATATCTTTATACTCATCCTCGGTTTGTATTTCCATCAACAAAGAATCTGTGTCGGTATATAACACCTCGCATCTATCAGCGTATTTCTTCTTAAGTTCGTTGTAATAAAAGTCATACATTCAGTGTTTTGACAAGTCGAGAATACCCGTACCAACGTACACCGGTCTGTTGAATTTTATATTACTCTTCTGCATATGCAACGCGGCTAAGTCGTTATCGATTATCTTGCTTCTGTTAAAAGCCGGACTGGCTATAAGTTTCCCAAGCCTTTCTTCCTCATTCGATCTGACTAATTTAACATCAACATGCTTCCTTAGATTCTCCATAGTTTTACCAAATACTGAGTTATTCATGAGCTTATATAGATTCTTTTCGAAATCGCTGGTAGCTATCTTTCTTAAATCTGTGTTCAACCTTATATAGGGCTCCATCCAAGGGCTTTGATCAAACTTTAGAACTCTGTGTATTTTCTTTAGTTTCATACCTACCGATAGATATAACTGGAGATTTCTGTTGTGAACTATATATTTTGTCTTATCCATCAAATTTGGTACGAGTTTTTCTACATTAGCTAACCTAGTATTACCCATCAAGGAGTGTTGATATTCCGACATCCAGTCTTTATTAACCATTAATCTTTCGGGAGCTAGCGGATAACTGTTATGGTCTTTATGTAACAAATTTGCATATTCCAAGTCAACCTCTAGTATGTACCCTTTTTTCACATTGATATTATGGATATTATTCACTTCAATATCATCGACCCACTCAAAACCACCCGTGGGTAAAGGTTGACTCATAGCCCATCTGTACAAATTGTTAGCGTCGAGATATAATATGTGCGTGTCGGGTTTACTCGGATCATATCCTTCCACAAATTTATTATAAGCCTTAGAATACCTTTTCGCTACCATCGATATACCACCACTAAATCCTTTCTCAATAAACAAGTGCATATCATAATCTGTGAGTAGTTTTAGTTCTACACCGGTCTTCTTCAACAATGCATCCCACGATAGTCCGGGACTGGAATAGTACCATGCAGGATCCAAGCCGTATTGTTTTAAACATGTCTTTCTAAATATCTCGAATATATCGGCGAGTAACAGTACATCGGTTTTTAATCACAGATCGTGATAATCGCCTAAATTCTTACAACTTAATTTATCCTACACCGTCAGAGCGTGTTCAAAATCAGCATCTGTTATTTTAGATTCTGTTAAGTTACTATAGAATGATTCAAGGGGTGGTAATTTAGTTTCGTCGAATCTAGACCAATCATCCATATATTTGTAAGGATATACACCTTTTCTAACCAACAAATGACGAGTTAACCTATCGGTATATTGATTTGTTATCGCAAAGTCATCGGGATTGTTCGCATTAGCTAAATTGTCCAGGGAAGATAACAGAAACTGTACGGAGTCTATGAATCTAAGCCCATTACTTTGCTTTATTCTGGCTTTCCCATCCTTGTCCCTATAATGTATAGTTTTAGTCAACAAGAATGATATGTATTTTTCCATATTATTAGAAATGCACGTTAAACCGCCATCAGTCTTTGAGATAGCTTGCATAATGAGATGTGAATCGTATCCTCTAAGGTTATGAAACACAACGGGGATGGGTATTGTTTGAGAATTCATTTTTAGTTTCAAGTTACACTCGTTATGCGCGGCTCCCCGATAATTACCCTTGACGTGGCAATGATCTCTTACGGAATCCCCATTCAGGGGTTTATTACAAACATGACAACTCGTTGACCTTTTATAGACCCTCCAATCATCCCTAGTCATAAACATGGGTTTCTTACACGATAAATTTTCCCTGATTATTCTCTCCATTGTGTAGATATTCTAGGAACTTTCCCTCTGCATCGGGACCTCTGTAAATCACGGGCGGGTTTGTTTTCCCCTCATACCTTACAACTATATATCCAAACCCACAAGGAATATGTTCTTGAGTTTTGTACGTAAAACTACTATCTTGATTATTATCTTGATTATTTTCTATAGGTTTGATAAGCGCTTCGAAG